CCCCAAAACCCCAAAACCCCAAAACCCCAAAACCCCGGTTTGGGAGGTGGGAATTGAATTAATAGAGCTTAGTTTTAGATTTGAAGGGGGGCTGTGGGATGCTAAATTCAAGGCCGTTTAGTGGCAGGGATCTCATTGAGGGAAGAAACTGAGTAAAGAGATTTTTTGTGCCAAAATTGAGATAGAGGTTATCTCTCCAAGATTTAAATCCTGGTTTTTTGACAGTCGAATTCCCTTTAGTCTTATCTGATCTTTTTGCTTGAATAGAGTCGATCTGAGGGCAACCTTGTAAGGTCAAGTTCCATTGCCAGATATTGAAATATCCCATTCCAAAGAAAAGACCAATATTGAGGCCAAGAGTCAGAGATGCAGCATTACCATATCTATAGAAAAAGGGGTGGCCGCTCCATTCATAAAGAAAAATTCACATATAAACACTTGAAATCCAAACATAGAATAAAAACAGCAAGAAATATCGATTATTATGTAGCCCAATGCAATTGTTCAACCATGGGCAATGATGATCCATATTCACAACACAGTCCTGTCAAATAGATCAATGATGAAACCTAGCAGGCTTGAAAGGTCGTTTTTCATCACTATTACTCTCTTTTGAGCTTAAATCTAACTCTTCATACCACTTTCACCTTTTTCAAACTTTCCCATTCTTCTTCACAACACTCTTCAGCCCTCAATGGGAGTACTCTAGGAGCTGCTTCATATCTTTGCCTCAGTCAAACTCTCTTTTGTGTTTCTGAACATCAAGTCTCTTTCTTTGTTGTTCTTCTGGGCTTTCCTCAGGAATGTAGAAGTCTTTCAGTCAGCCTGGCCTGATCATCATGCCCATAGAGTGGTTAAACCAGATATTGAAGACAAGGAATAGCCCAAATAGAGTTATTAAGAAGCATACAACTGAACCATAGTAGACATACATCAGTGGAAGCAGGATCATTATGTAGATAAATATGTTGAAGAGAACGAGAATGTATACGGCCATTGCTAACAAGGGTCCTATATAGTTGAGGAGTCTGAGAGAGCGAAACAGGCATCTCCTGGGCTTTCAAAAACATACGAGATTTTTATAGATTGATGATAGTGTCATTTTTAGATTTAATACCAATTATTAAAAATCTTTAGGGGTTTTGGGGTTTTGGGGTTTTGGGG